CTAGTAGTAACAAAGAAGCTACTAGTAACAAGTGCCACGCTAGTAGTGCCAGCTTCTTTCGGACGTGTTTTCGATTGCAGCGATGACGGTTCGCGGGTGATGACGGTTCGGCATCACCATTCTGAGTCTCTGAGATCTCTTCCGCAAGGGGCCAAGGACAACCTGAAAGCAACAAGGTCCGCACGTTTTGTAGACTGCCCGCAGCCGGGGGATTCTCTTGAGATTCATGGGCTTCAAATGGTGTGGTGTAGTGTAGTCATACTGTCATACAACACAGTTGGAATCATTGATCCTCGTTCGCTTTACATTATCTTCGGCAACAACAGGAGATGAAAAACCTCATGACTAGTCCATGCAATACCTTTGGGAAATATTGATGGGTTCCACTATCAAGGTACTGCCTGGAGGTACATTGGTTTTCCTTCAGAATCTCGAGTGGCTAACGCAAAGAAGCATACAGTATCTCACGCTGGCCTTGCGCAGATGCATTTGTTTCAACTTCTGGAAATCCGTGTGTGCCACGTGCACTGTGCGGCTGGGGGCCTGGACGGCTTTTTGTACAAGGCGTTCAGATCAGATCACTCCGAATTACATCGAATTACTACTTTACTCGGTTCCTAGGACTGAGTACAATGCACCTCATCCGCCCTGATTGGGCTTCACTTGATCATAACAGGCCTTGGCTTGCTGTTTGCCAGTGCCTTTCCGAGTTGCCTCATGGCAAAAAGTGCGAGACGACAAATGTCGATCAAACCTGTGATCATTTTCATAGACCAGTCAAGTTGATGTTGCTTGTTGTCTTATTGTCTGATAACTGAACATCTCAGGCATTTCCAGATGCCTTCGATGTCTTGACCTTCTGCAGCAAACCAACCTTTGGCGGAACGAGCAACTATGGAGGTCTGGCAAATACCGTGTGCAAGTCGCATGTCTGCTTGCTTGTCTACTGCTTTGTGCCGAGACGGGTGCCTTCCGGGATGTGCCCTCAAACGCCTCAAAGGGCTCGCATCCTGTTTCTCTGTCACCCTCGGGTGCCACCTGTTCAATCAGGCTAAACACAAAGTGGACAAAGCGGAGAAAGACATCCAACTCTAGCCAGGGGTGCCCAAACATCCTCAACGCACTCTGCTCCCCAACCACGGAGCCGGTCCTACCGTGGAAAACGGTGGTTACGACAGGTTTTCGCTGGAAAGGTCCGTTACGTTGGGCAAGGGTGACCGACGTCTTAAGACTGGCATCGACCGACGTCATTTGTCTGAAACAAGAAGCTACTAGTAACAAGTGCCACGCTAGTAGTAACAGGTGCCTTACTAGTAGTA